TTCTTTTCCTCCCTTTTTCTCCTTTTTCCCCACTCTCTTTTCCTTCTTTTCTTCCTCCAAGCAAGAATAATTGAATGATAGGAAATCTGGGACCTGGCCTGTTTTTTTTTTTTGGCTTTTTCCCCTTCTCTTGTCTCACTTAATTGTTCTTTTAAGGGTTGCCAATATGCCGTTTTTTATTGTATAATATTGGCATCATTAAGACTGTGTTTGATTATAGACCATGTATTTTATTAGTATAGGATGAAGGAAGAAAAAAGGTGGTACTGGGGAACGTTTTGCTCCCACCAAGTCAAACTATTCCTATACCACAAATATGTGAATATTGGAAGATGGTTCTTGGGTTCTTATTTTTTATTTTTATTTAGATTTAGCAAAAGGAAAGGTAGGATGTTCCTTTCAAAATTACACATTTAATGAGGCTCTGCTCTATCCAAGTCACTCTGCTAGGTACTGAAGATATAAATTAACATTAGAAAACACTCTAAAACATGGCTTCTCTCTTTCAGCTCTGTTTTTCCTTTCCTTTAAAATGGGCAGGGAATGCTCTCCTAGTGTAAAAGGATTTCATGCATAAACATTTTTTTCTAAATGCTGATGTCATTTTCATAAGATTCATGTCCATTTAGGGGCTAAAAGGTTGTAACAACATCCCCAGAGTTCAGTGCCAGATGTGTTTGCATGGCGGATCACGCAGACCCAAACTCATTCTAGCATCTGGTTAAACACATTTCACATCAGATCTTAACCATATGTGAATATAATTGAGAGCAAGTGAGAAAGTAATCTGTTTTCTCCCTCTTTTTGTTCTATTTACAATGTAAACCACTATTCTAAAGTTACACAATATTAACTGGATTAACAAGATGAGGTCTCTGTTTCTAGGCAGTTGACACAAGATTGAGAAGATAAAGCTGTGGCTAGAATATATTGCGTGCTACATAGGAATACAGTAGAGGAGTACCGATTCGGATGGGGAATAATCACTTCCAGCGAGAATGATTAAAGAAGATGTTATAGAGGAGATAGAGTCATGAGTCTGGAAGACAAGGAAGTTTCAATGGATGGAATTGGTGGAGAGGATATCTGAGTAGGGCGAGGAGAGAGAGAGAGGAACAATGTGAACGAAAGAGCTGGAAAAAGGCAGAGTATTTAAGGGGAATAACAAATAGATAATAGAGATCATGTGATGAGATTAATGATAGATATCCTGAAAAACCAGGTTAGGCTACATTTTAGAGAAACTTGCATCTAAATTATAGAACTTTTTACTATATACTGTTGAATTAAATGTATTGACACACTGAGTGATTTTAAAGGAAGACCTTGACAGAAATATGTAGGTGGTAGAGTCTGAACTGAGATAGAAGTTGTATTGAAGTAGAAGGAAAAGGTGGGTTATTTTTTCAAAGGAAGACGTGATATGAGCAGGGGCTATCTTTGGAGTTGTGAGGAACAGAGGAAGAAGTTAATGAAGACTGTGGTTTTGAATGTGGATGGCTGGGAGAATGGCAGTATAAATAAAGAAAATCAAGAAAACTAGTCTTACAGATTGAAGGTGAATATAATTTTTTATATATTGTATTTGAGAGGACCATAAGACTTCCAAGTGAAGGTATCCAATAGACTTTGGATATGTGATACTGAATAAAAATGATGATTGGAAACTCTTAAAGTAGGCGAGTTTTCCAAAGGAAGAAATATGGAGACAGAGGAGTATAATGTCAAAGAGAAAACTTTAATGTCCATTTTAGGACATGGGGATGACAGGGACCGACTGTCAGGTGTGCAATCAACAGCAGAGGCTTCTCAAAGTGGGGAATGTGGACGCCTTGCCTTGCGTTCAGGACTGACTTTTCTCCGAGTTTCGAGGGGAAGAACTCATCATTAAGCTTGATGTTTGCTGTAAGGTTTCCATAGATGCCCTTTATAAGTTTACCCTTTTATTTCTAGTTTACTGAGACATTTTACCATAAATGAATGTTTCAAATGTTTTTTTCTGCATTTATCAAGATGATGTATAGTTTTTCTTTTTTAGACTTTTGATACAGTGAATTGCATTGATTAATTTTCTAATGTTGAACCAGCTCTGCATGGTCATGACATAATATCCCCTCCTTCCATTTTTTTATATCATTGGGTTCTATTTGCTAATATGTGTTTTTAAGAAAATTTGCATATAGACCTATGAGAGACAATGATCTGTAAATTTTCTTGTCTGACTTGATATCAGGGTAATGCTAGCATAAAAAAAAAATGTCTCAAAGTGCCCTTTCTTTCTTTATGTCCTAGAACAGTTTGTAAAAGATTGGTATCTCTTCCTTAAATATTTGGTAAAATCCCAAGTAAAAGCACTTTGGCTTAGAATTTTCTCTGTAGGAAGCTTTTTACCCATGAGTACATTATAGGGCTAGTTAGAGTATCTCTTTTTCAAAGTTGCTGCTCTGTGTCTTTTGTGGAGTTTGCCTGTTTCTCATCTAAATAATACAAGTTTTATGCATCAAGGTGTGCATAATATTATTAACCTTTTGATGTCTGTAGGATCTACTTTAATATTTCTCTTTCATTTTATTTACATCTATTATTTTCTACTTTTCCCATCTGCTTCTTGTTTTAATTATCTCTTTTTAGGCTTTCTTTAACATTGAGTGTGTTTTATGATTTCATAAAGTAGATACTATTTAGGATACAATAATGTGAGCTCTTAGGCAAGATGTGAGCTTTCACAGATTATTACTGAAATTCTCTCAGTAAAGTGAGAGAATAAAGTATGATCATAGGCTGAGGGTGGGGAAATGTTGACATCCCGTACAGAGAAGATTTAAGATATATGAGATATATGTTGTGGGAGGTCTCCTGAGGAAATAGCAAGAGAATAACATGAATTTACAAGCATTAGTAAGGGCCCAGCTGAAGTAGACATGTAACTAATACTCCTGCTTGGATAGCTAATTTGAAAGTATGTTTCCAAATAGGGCTTACAAATGGAAAAACGGGGAAAAATTATAATGGAATGTTTCACATTTCAATTCTAGTTGTAATCAAATCCTTTCATGTTTTCCCTCATGAAGCTTGAAGATATCAGCTCTTTTAGACAATCACATTTTTCCAGGAGTTTGGACCCTGGACATAATTGGCAGCTGTCTTTTCTGCACACTGAACACAGCCACTTACACTGGGCAGATGAACCCAAGGATTTTAAATGAGACCCGAGTGACGGTTCTCCCATTTTCTTTCTCAGAGCTAAGTTATATGAAAAGCCAGAAAAAAAGGAGAATTGCTGAAAGAAATTGGTTTTGGTGAATGGAAATAGAATGAATGGAAAATTGGCAAGCCAGCTGGGTAGTTTGAAGGACTAATGGTTTTAGAAACATGTTTGTAAGGCTAGGATAATTATTCTGCTCTTTGAACTGATTATATTTGTACTGTGTTCTTTTTGTTTGCAAAAGCTGTGATTGCTTGATTCATGTAAGGGGATGTGAGCTTAGTGTAAAGGCACAGTTCATTTATCTAAATTCTTTGTTGTCCATAAGCACTATTATTTCATTTGCATATTGAAAATCTGTGTAATCAGAAGTGGGAAAAATCAGTTTCATAGGCATATTTCATTTGAATTACTTTCACAATTACAACCAGTTCTCAGAATATATTTTTTTTGACAAACCCCAACTTGAGCAGTAGGAAAAGTAACATTTTATGCAAAAAACTTGATATAGATATTTTTCATAGACAAAAAAAAAAATGAACTAACCCATACTTTTCCAGAAATGGCCACCCTGTATAGAACAGAGTGCCTGGGTTTGAATACTGGCTTTACTGCTACATACTAGTGTGGTCCTGGGCAAGATGCTTAACCCTTTGGGCTTCAGTGTCTTCATTTGTGAAGTAAAGCTTTATCTTATGGACTTGATATGAAGATTAAATGAATTAATATATGTAAAATGCTTAAAGTGGACCAGATGCATAGTATGTTCTCAGTGAATTTTAGCTGTTACTAGACTGAAAAAGTTAGGCCCTCAGCTTTGCCAGTAATCTGGGGTTTGAACAACATCTGTATCTGGGACTCTGAATGTCAAATTTACACACACTTGGTATCTACCTTAAAAAGGTACTAGGAAAAAAAATTTCCAATGCCATCCATCTGAGTGTGACATTTATTGATGGTTTAAGGTTTTTTTCTTATATACTAAATTTACTCTCCCAGGCATAGCAATCATTTCTTCAAATGTAATTTTAGTGTTTGTAAAGGTCATTATAATTATGTTTCAGTGTGTATATTCTAAATCAACTCTTTGTGATTTACCAAAAATAAAGTATCATTATATACTGAGAGAAAGAAAGCAGTATGCCCTGGCCGGTTTGGCTCAGCGGTTAGAGCGTCGGCCTGCGGTCCGGAGAGACCCGGGTTCGGTTCCCGCTAAGGGCACGTACTTCGGTTGCAGTTTGTCCCCAGCCCTGGTTGGTCGTGCGGGTGGCAGCCACTCGATGTGTCCCTTTCACGTCGATCTCTCTCTTCCTTTCTCTCCCTCCCGCTCTGTCTGAACAAAAAATGGAAAAATGTCCTCGGGTGAGGATTAAAAAAAAAAAAGTGCCAGCCTTTGGGCAGGTTCTGGCTTTGCTCCGAGCTGAACCAGTTGTTTCACTTTGGGGCAAGCACTTTCACAGTTCCTCTTTTCATTTGCATAAGAGGTGAAAAGTACACAGGGATCGCGAATGTTCCATCTCTTTTGATGCTTTATGGTATTTTACATTTACACCGCTTTTTCCGGAAGAGCCAGGCGTTCGAGATGGGTCAGTTTCCTAGAGAACTGACTGCCCACCCCGTTGGAATCCTCCAGCCCCTTAGTATTTTTCAGGAATTAAAAACTGACTACAGATACAGGATTTTATAATAAGTAAATCCAGAATCAATTTTTAAAGGTCTTATAAATGCTCTTAATCTAATTTTGTTTCTTTCTGAATTTAAATATCCTGATTTCCCCCCCTCATATTTTCCACAGGATTATTTTACAAATGAAAATAGAGAGTTGACAAAAGATTCTCAGCAAGATTACCACCTAGAATATGCGATGGAAAACAGCACACACACAGTGATTGAATTTACCAGAGATCTGCAAACGTGTGATAAAAACGACAGGACTATAACGGTAAGGAGTCTCCAAGGGAAGGCATGTCTGAATAAAAGGTACCTTTGCAGGGTGAGACCCTCTGCAGAATAAAAGGGACAAATGTTTAAAAATAACCTTTGAGTCACATAGTCTTTGGGGGACTGTTCCTGAATTTTCTTTATGAGTCACACACAAAAAAATCTGACTATAAATATGTATCAATAAAGGCATTTTTATGTGTGAAGCTAACATTCTGAAGAGCTGTTTCAAGTGTGTATGATTTGCCCTGGCCGGTTTTGCTCAGTGGTTAGAGCGTCAGCCTGCAGACCAGAGAGTCCCGGTTCGGTTCCCGCTAGGGGCATGTACCAAAATAAATAAATAAAAATAAAGTGTGTATGATTTGATATCAAAGATTTTCAGCTTCTTCTCTATAATGTTTTAAAACATACAATAGATAAAGATGGGAAGAAATGTTACAGGAGAGAGAAGTATGACACTGAATGTAATTCATCTGATTTGTAACACAGTCATCTTAGGAAGCTTCTAAAATCAAGATGAGTAGTAGACTGATTAAAATTGCCTCTCAACATATTATACAAAATTTCTTGTTGTCAGACCTCATGCAAAAAATAATATCTTTATACATATGCAAATTAAATATTTAGAGACTATATCATTCAGATGGTACTTTGGGAGTTCCCACAGATTTCTTAGATCAGTTTAACTTCGAATGGGCCCACAAAATTCTCTCTTTTATTTGTAAAATCAAAGCTTAAAAAATAGAAATGTAAAAATCTGAAGCTGTTTTGATTAACATTCAGCTTAAAGAGTAAAAGAGGAAGGAAAAAATCACATGCAAAGACATGGATCACTTTTTTATGTAATCCACAGTACAATTATACTTTAATTGGAATAATAATTATTGTCATTTGACTTATTAAGAAAGAACATAGCTTTTAAAATAGATAGCCTTTGCTGCATTATTTATTTGCAAAGTTCTTATTACAAAAATCTGGCAAAGACCCCTTTCTGTCGGAGGGCTGAATAATCTTTTTATACCCCAGGAAACCCTCCCTGCGGCCCCCCACCTTTGGGGCAATCTCCCTTGGTTGCTAAATGGAAACTAATTCCATTTTACAGTATCTCCTCCAGGTGGGACATAGCGATTCATCGGATTTGTAATTAATTCATCTTAGTAAGCTTCTAAAGTAGAGATGAATAGCACACTGATGCCTTAGAAAATCCCAGGATTCTTAAAATGGCTATTAGATAGATTCAAGGTTAACAAACAAACCCAGAATCAGGATTGCCTCCTGTATTTGCATTTTATGCAAATTCATACATGTAACTGGGCTAGTGTCTATGAAAGTAGAATCTCTGACTTGGAAAGTAATTTCAGTTTTCATTCTATTTATTTATTTTCCCAGAAATGTTTGCAGCATTAAAACGGGTTTTAATTTTCCCAAATCCCAGCTGCTTAACAGGCATGTTTGCTTGGTAACTACCAGTTGCTGGTTTGGAGGTTCAGCATGACAATGCTGCGCTGTTTTTGCATGCATGAAAGCATACCTACCGGTCAGCTGTCCTCCACTCTTGCCTGCTGAGAGAGACATCTTCCCCCTAAACTTGTCTGGATACTTAATGACTGAGTCACACTCACACAATTAATGTTAGAGACTTCCAAATGTTATTATTCTCTTTCCTTCACTTCTGTATGTTGCTTTACATAGAGTTCTTTAAACTCAACTTGTTGGTAAGGGGGGTGCTCTGCTGAGACATAACCCTGCCTGTCTGGTCACCAGGAGAGCACTGTGAAAGTGATCTGGGCCTATCACCACGAAGATGTGGGAGAAGATGGTCCCAAGTACCACAGCTCCAACCGTGGCACCAAGAGTCTGCGGCTTTTGAATCCTGAGAAAACCAGTGTGTTGTCCACAGCCATGCCATACTTTGACCTGGTCCATCAGAACGTAAGTTTCTTCGGGTTTTGTGACAGTAGGTGGTAGTGGTAGTGGTGGGGGGCGGGGGGTGGGTATTGAAAGTGTGTAAGAGTTTTTACTTACTGTATTTAACTGTTTGACAAGAGAATGTGACTTTGTGTCCTCCTCCCCTTTTTATTAAGACAGGTCCCCATCCCAAACAAAGATACGACATATTGGTGCCAAATGTTTAAGATTCCTGTGTTCCAGGAAAAGCATCATGTAGTCAAGGTACGTGACTCACTCACAGGCCTAAAGTTATTTTGTTATTAATGGAGGAGAAATTGTTCTTAAAATGAAAATGATAACAACTATATAGAAATGATTTTCCATTTTATGAAAGTATGTAGAGAACAAAAAACTGGATTATCTGTCACACACTCTATTTTAAGAGTCACTGAGAGAGTTTGGGAGAGTTTGGATTATAGCTAGTTTTTTGGGTTTTGTCTCCTAATTTTACATGCTCAGGCTAAAAGTTTGGGGATGCATTTGAACACCTCTAGTTATTTCTCAGACAACACTTCTACAATCGGAATCATTGGAATTGCAACTAAAAGTAAAATATTTACGTACTGATAAATTATATCCAGGAAGGTTACATTGCCCACCAAAATGGTTTGAGAATATTTACTCCATTGAATATATTGAATATTGTCATAATAATAATGGTTACAGTAGTTCTGGAACTAGGAAAACAAGAAAATTAGTGAATTTCTACAGAATTTAAAAAATACAGTACTGTGTGGTAAATAAGCCCAGTTCGCCTGTGGCATGTAATTCCCTCCCACTCCCACAGGCATTGGCCTCCCCCAAATTTTGCCTGTAGTTAGTGAATGAACAAGTATTGAAAACATTTACAGGTCTTGGCTCTGTGCTGGGAACGGTGAGGCCGTTCCACGGTGGCTGAAGATATCCACGGCCTCAATATTGCAGTGAGATTGTAGGAGTCAGGACCAAGACACAAGACAGGATAAGATAGGATTAAATAGTGCGTTAAGTACTGCAAACATTCAGGTGGCCAGACACCGCCAGCCCTTTGTCAGCCCTTTGTCAGCCCTCGGACTGTGTAAGGAAGCAGTGTGGATGTGAGGAAGGAACAACCTTGTAAATTCTGGAATCCAGAGGAAAATCTGTGGGTTCGATTCTCAGGTCCATTCTTTAATTAACTACGTGTCTCAGGTAAATGCTCTCGGGTAACAGTCCCTGTAGGTCCCAATCTCCTCATCTGTAACAGGTCATAACACTTTCCCTACCGACCTCAAAGCATTTTGGCAGAGATGGAAACACTGAGTGTATTCTATGAAGTGACTTACATTTGTTCACTTCTAAAATATTTGTCCAGTGGCACAGATCTGCTTTTTATTTACAGACTGATTCATCGCTGCTTAGAGAGGCAAGAGGAGCAGGTTGAGAAATGTTTATTGAATTAGTAAAGTTGTCCTAAATATTTGTGGAATGTTTTTGCAATCAAAACACACCAACAGTCCTGGCTGATTTGGCTTAGCGGTTAGAGTGTGGGCCTGTGGACCAGAGAGTCCCAGGTTCGGTTCCCGCTAGGGGCACGTACAAAAAAACACACCAACAACATAAATGCAGATAAATCATTTGCCTCTGGGCAATGTGATTTTCTCTTTCTTACATGTAAAAGGGGAATGCACATTCTAGCTGTATATATGAATACAATGACTTGATGCTTTCCTGATACCATGGAAAAGCCTTTCTCAGAAAAGAGAATGTTATAGGTCTACAGGGTGGGGCAAAAGTAGTTTTGCAATGAGTATGCAAAACACAGAGTTAACTCTTGTATTATCATTTATTAATTATTGTATTATTTTCCGTGAGAACAACTGTAAACTAAACCTACTTTTTGCTCCACCCTATATATACTGTGAGTCATATATCACTGTGTGCCATTCGCAGTAAATTTAACTGGAAACTGGTTCAGAAACCAAAACAAGTGCTTCACAAAAAGCGATCCATTTTTCAGCAAATGTTAATTGATGGGATGCAATGTCCTTAATCACTTAACACTAATCCATTTTTATTTGTGTCATTCTTAATGCAAACAATTAAATTGAATGAAATAAAAATAATTGTCTACCCTTAAGGGATGGCAGTATATATTCTCACCCTCCACGTAGGACATTTGCTCCTCATCTAAGAATTCTTAGCTAGATGTCCCATCAGAAACATGTCCTAGTAACGCTAAGATTTCTGGGCACCTATTATCTAAGGGTGTGCTTAGAATAAAGTACTTTTGGGTCTACATTGCCGTCTTCACAAGGCATCAAGGGGCCCTCAGTGACTTGAACGGCTGTGGAGCATTTTTTGCAGTGTGTAGAGGTCTCTAAAAGGGCAAAACTTCTTTATCCTAGCCAAGGAGATTTGGGGAAAGGGCAGTGGGCCAGAGGTAAGCTTTTGCTTTTGCGGGGCAGAGGGTTGGTGGCCAGATTTTAAAATTCTATCATGATTTAAGAATACCACTTATAATAAAGTCCTGAGCTTGTTGTTAAACCCTAAACTATTTTAAAATTCATTAAATATTATAAAACATTTAACTCAAAAATTTATTCTAATAGGATAACAGACAAAAAAGAAAAAGAAAGAACAAGGAAGTTTACTGGAAAAATAAATCCCAACATTTAGGTTGTAGGTCGCAGTTTTAATTTGCCTCTTATGGCAGTTGACAATAATTTTAATAAATTTCTCTACTGAAATTCGTAGATCTAGAACTTATCTTAAGAAATTATCTAATTTTCATTCTCTTTTCCTTAGCAGAGATGATTTCTAAAAATGCAAGAAAAGAGTATCTTTTTTTTCATGGAATCAAAGACTCCTGTTTTGAAAAGCCATTTGCCAAATGCTAATTATTCATTAGTTTATGTCTCACAAATCGCTATATCAAAAAGCCTCAGTCTTTTTCTGATACAAACCAAGGTACTTTCTCAGAAAAAATAACATTGATTTTATATTGTATTATGCTGTATGTCATTTACAGTGAGTTTTAAGAACATATTGATTATAGTAGTATTGTGAGAAATATTCTATTTCAAACAAAGAAAAAGTTTTAATTGCAGTTTAAATGTTGATCATATTACCTAATATACACTTTGTAGTTGTAATAACTATAAAGCTAAGCAGATAAAAGAAATCAGTGCCTTGCTGTGGCCAGTTTGGCTCAGCGGTTAGAGCGTCGACCTGCGGACCAGAGAGTCCCGGGTTTGGTTCCCTCTAAGGGCACGTACCTTGGTTATAGTTTGTCCCCGGCCTCGGTTGGGGTCGTGTGGGTGGCAACCAGTCGATGTGTCTCTTGCACATTGATGTTTCTCTTACGCCCTCTCTTCCTCCTGCTCTATCTGAAGATAAATGCAAAAATGTCCTAGGTTGAGATAAAAAAAAAATCAGTGCCTTAATCATGAATATATTTAATGAAATGACTAAAATTCTAAATATTTATTACATTTTTATTGAAATTTTAATCATTGCCCTGGCCAGTTTGGCTCAGCGGTTAGAGCGTCAGCCTGCGGTCCAGAGAGACCCGGGTTCGGTTCCCACTAAGGGCACATACTTCGGTTGCAGTTTGTCCCCGGCCCTGGTTGGTCGTGCGGGTGGCAGCCACTCGATGTGTCCCTTCATGTCAATGTTTATCTCTCTCTCTCCTTCCTCTCTTTCCCTCCCACTCTATCTGTACAAAAAATGGAAAAATATCCTCGGATGAGGATAAAAAAAAAAAAAAATTTTAATCATGTAATGATAAAAATGTTTACTACTAAAAGTATGACATACAATAAATAATTTCCAAAATTATAAAATGACAAAGATAAACATTTCATCTGCAGTAAAGATAGAATTATGATAAAAACTATTGGTGGCTTCTATTTACTTGTCATTCTAGTTCATTGATTTGTATTTCGATCTTTGAAAAAATGTTTAAAATTGTGACTTGAAAGTGTGTCATCAGATGACAGCACATCACACTTGCAGACAGGGAAATTGTAACAAAGAAAATTCTTGGTAATTTATATTAAAACCACACTTCTCCTATGAGGTCATCTCTGTCACTCTGTCTTGAGAACCACTGTCTAGGCCACCTCTTCTCATGTAAACATGACCCTAGTGAATCTTTGCCAGATATGTGACTTTACCTTAAATTTAAAATTATGGGGGGAAAGTGATTCTTTCCATTTTCTTTAGTCAATATTGATATCGTTATCACCTACCAGCAATGATTGGGTATACTCTGTTAGAAGCTGCAGTTATCAATTGGTTTAACACACTCTTTTTTTTTTTAGGATAATTGTCAGGAAATTCTCATAGATAAATTAAACACTTGGTATGTCCTATTCAATATAATAAATAGTTGATGACCTATGATGTTAAAAAGGGAAAAAGAAAAATAGCCAGACTGAATCATCATTTCTTAGTCATTTCTCCTTAAAGGACAGGCTTCCTAATAGGGAGGCAGTAAGCTTCAGGGTATAGTAGGTGGGTGGTGCACTCCAATGGGCCAGGTTTGAATCCTTTCTTTCCATTACTAGTCGTTTAACTGTGGGAAAGTCAACTGTCATCCACAGTTTAACTTTATCATTTAAATGGGAATAGTACCCTCCTTATATGATTGTTTATACTGAAGATTAAATATCAGTTAAAAAAAAAACCTGTTAATAGCACAGTATCTGACACATAGAAAACTCAATAAACCCACCAATTATTAGTAGGCCATTTGTTCTCAGTGATGCATTCTGAATAGCTTTTCATTGAAAACCTCTGTTTAGTGAGGAGGCTCAGAAAGGGATAGCGCATCATGCAAGAAGGCTGACCATTGCTGAGTTTTAAAAGAGGATTACTTTTACATGTTGTGACCTTAGGAAAATTATTTACTTCCCTCTGCCTTGGTTTTCTCATCTGGAAAATGGGCATAATAGTTCTCACCCAGTAGGGTTCTTATGACTATTAAGTGAATCAAAAGCGTTTAATATTTGTTAGAATTTAGGACAGTGCCAGGCACACAGTATTTGTTAAATCAAGTAATTAAATAAAGTTTATGTAAATCGCTAGCAATACACAATTGTTAATCTGTTGATCACTTTGTTAGATCTCTAGGTTGCTGAGGAATCTCAAATTAGCCAACACTTTCCATACAGTCAGAGTTTCAAATAAAACCTAAATTGTCACTCATTTCATTTAGGGAGGTCATCTTGAGAACTTTCTGCTACTGAGAAATCTGAAGT